CAAAGTGTTGATGATGCTCCCCGAAGTGCCAACTTTCCAGAGTGGAAGTCTTTACAGGCAGCCTGGCCCTCTCAGGGTCTTTCTTCTCTTAGCAGCTCGGAAAGGCGAGAGAGCATCCTGCCGGGGCTGGGACCTGAGGCCCCAGGTCTCCGGAGGATTCGGCACCAGAATCCCTGACGGTTCACTCCCCATGAAGACCCGCGCCAACCACCGACCCAGGCTTTGGAGCAAACCATGGCCCATGCGAAGGCCCTGGGCGGGAAGATGAGAAAGAGCAGATTCATCTTTGGTGACAGAGAAAGGAGATTGGACAGGGCAGGTGAGGGGATGAATAGGAAAGAGTCATCCTGAATTTTAAGAGGAGGTGGAAACTGTGGGGACAGGGAGTGGACAGAGTCCTGCCCGAGGCAACACGACAGGAGGGGACCCGGAAGACAGCCAGTCTCCAGGCACTTGCACGCCACTTCTTTCTTTCTTGTGTGTGTGTGTGTGTGTGTGTGTGTGTGCGTGCGCTTTTTTTTTTTTTTTAATGTGTCTTTACTGATTTTACAGAGAGAGAAAGGGAGAGAGAAACATCAATGTGAGAAACATCAATCTGCCGCTCCTGCATGCTCCCTACTGGGGATCAAGCTCAAAACCTGGGCATACCGCCCTGACCAGGAAATGAACCAGCAAGCCTTTGGTACACTGAACGATGCTCAACCAACTGAGCCACACCGGCCAGGGTGGCACCATTTCAACAGGCTCCTCCCCTCCAGAGGCCAGGATGGCTGGAGGACACGCAGTTTCTCGCTTTCTCCTCGCCCCCTGCTGCCTGGGGCCAGGCCTGCCTGACCTCCTGCCTCCTTCCTGCTCCCCATCATCCTTAGGGACTGAGCTTGCCAGGGTCTCCTTGTCTTTTTTTATTCTTGAAAAATGACGCGGGAAACGAGATAAAAATGCTGCCTTTCCAATAACCGCTAACGCTGTAGCATGCTTGCCACTGTGCTCAGTGCTTTCCGTGTAACTATCCCATCTGATCTCCACAGCAACCCCATCGGGTAGGCACTATGGTTTATCCCCGGGTTACAGGGGAGGAAACAAGCACAGAGAGGTTAGGTGACTTGCCCAAGACCACACAGCAGGCTAGATTTGAAGCCAGGCAGTCTGGGAGTGTGTGTCCTCTGTCTCATCACTGATAAAGCGGATCTGAGGTCTCAGCTCAGACCCGGAGCTGAGGGGCTCTTGAAGACATCACTCACATTAGACTGTCCTGCCACCAGTCATAGCCGGTCCTGCCAGAAGAGGGCGGGGAGCAGACCCGGGATCACAGCTCACAGAGGAGCAGAGGGAGAAGGGCCCCAGCCCCCGAGCAGAGTGCCTCAGAGTGGGTGAGGGGTGCGTGTCCCTCCAGCCCCAGGGCCCCCCCCCCAACCAGGGCGAACACTGGAACATGAAAGCATGGAGCTAAGTTCCGCGGGGAGGTCCCCCGGACACATACGTGGGATTCCTACCAGCCACCTAGCCAGAAGGTCCGTATTTCATCAACTCTGAAAGGCATTTTTTAAAAACTGTAAACATCTCCGAAATGGGGCGCCTCTCCCGGTCGTAGGCATGCGTGGCAGTCCTGGCTCGGCTGTGGGGCCAGCCCGTGCTCACACTTGGCATAGCTGCTCCTATGGCAGGGCCCTCCGCTACATGATCTGCACGGTTGGCTGGTCCCATGCATGTGGATGGGGTTATCATTTAAAATAGCGTCAAAGCTGTTCTCGGGGAAAGGGAGGGAGGAAGAGATTGAACATAAAATGTGCACCTATGGATGAGGACAATGGGGGGTGGGGAGGGGGCGGAGGGTGGGGTGGGAACCTGGTGAAGGGGGGAAGAAATGAGGAACCTTTGTAATAATATGAACAATAAAGATTGATTTTTAAAAAAATGCATGTCTATGCCTTATATCCTCTATTATGAAAACCATACAACATTTAAACCTTAATTTTTCAATGATAATAAAAAAATAAACAACTAAAATAGCGTCAAAGCCCTAGCCGTTTGGCTCGGTGGATAGAGCCGTTGGCCTATGGACTGAAGGGTCCCAGGTTCGATTCCGGTCAGGGGCATGTACCTTGGTTGCGGGTACATTCCCAGTGGGAGGTGTGCAGGAGGCAGCTGATAAGTGTTTCTCTCTCATCGGTGTTTCTAGATCTCTATCCCTCTCCCTTCCTCTCTGTAAAAATATCAATAAAATATATTAAAAATATGTTCCCTGCCGCGCAAACTTTCCAGAGTTGAAGTCTTGAAAGGCAGCCTGAGGGAATGGAGTCAGACAGTCATCGGGCTGGAGGTCCTGGGTGTCACTTCCTGCTGGATAGAGTCATACAGAGGGGAGGTGACACAGTCAAGGCGCACTGCAAGTGACCTTCAGAGCGGAAGCCAGTGTCCATCCAGGAACCCACGAGCTCTCCTTCCTGGAAAGTCCTGGTCTAACTGTGCCGGCACCTGGGACTGGCCAGGTCCCCGGGCCCTCCCATACCCGAGGGCACTCTCCGGGGAAGGGCAGAGTCTGGCTTGTTGCGCCCTGTGAGCAAGTGACTTCCAGAGGCTGAGGAAGAGAGGAGAGGAGAGCTCTGCCTTCAGCTCCACTGCCCTCCTTTTGTCCCCTGACCTTTCAACTTGACCTCCTCGGTGGCACAATTTGGGGAGGTGACGGAGAGTAGGTCCAAAAAAAAAAAAAAAAAAAAAAATATATATATATATATATATATATATATATATATATTTTTTTTTTTTTTTTTTTCAAAAAAACAACACGGAACAGCTGAGAAACTGTCACAGAGCCAGGAACCTATGGAGACAGCATGACTAAATGCCATGTGGTTTCCAAGATGGAATCTTCCTTGGGACAGAAAAAGGGGTATTGGTGAAAAACACTGGAAACATCCAAAATCCAGCCTGGAGTGTAGCTAATAGTCACACCAGCATTCGCTTCTTAGTTTTGGCAAATGCATCCTGGGATGCGAGATGTTAACCTTAGAGCAACCTGGGTGAAGAGTACAACGGATTTCTCATGCTACCTTTGCAACTTCTCTGTAAGTGTAAAAATTGTCCCCAAACTAACTGTTGAATTTATTTAAAAAAAAAAAAAAAAAAAGACATATCAACCTGGGGGGTTTCAGCAGAGCCACGGGGTGGGGGCCACGCTACGAGTGGCAGCTCGGTGAGCGGAGGGAGGGCCCGGGGACCTGGCCAGTCCCAGGTGCCGGCAGAGTTAGACCAGGACTTTCCAGGAAGGAGAGCTCGTGGGTTCCTGGATAGACACTGGCTTCCGCTCTGAAGGTCACTTGCAGTGCGCCTTGACTGTGTCACCTCCCCTCTCTGTGACTCCATCCAGCAGGAAGTGACACCCAGGACCTCCAGCCCCTATGACTGTCTGGCTCCATTCCGTCTCCTGGGGGGAAATCCCTGAAAGCATTTTCCTCCCAAACTCCAAGTGAAAACAGAGAGGAAGGAAGCAAGGCTGGCAGGCAGGGGCCTGCGTGGGCCAGGATCATACCCGAGGGCGCTCCCGGGGGAAGGCTTGTTGCGCCCTGTGGCCAAGTGACTTCCAGAGGCTGAGGAAGAGAGGAAGGAGAGCTGTCTCCAGCTCCACTGCTCCTCCTTTCGTCCCCTGACCTTTCAACTTGACCTTCCAACTTGACCTGGCACAATTTGGGGAGGCGACGGGGAGTAGGTCCAGGAGAGTTCCTGAGTCCCGTGGAACGGGTTCACTCAGCCCCCATCCACTGCTACTCCTTGAGGCCTTTCCCTATTCCTCTTACTCATCCTTCGACTGCAATTGCACCACGTGGTTACCTACCTCTGGGGCAAAGGTAACCTTGCCTTGGCAAAGTAAGTCATCCCCAGGAACTCTTTTCTGGCTCCAGACCACAGCAAACGCCTCCATTCCCAGGCTCCCAAAAGGGTCTCTCGACCCAAGCCCCTTTCTCTCTCCATCAGCGGCTGGCGTTGCAGTGACAATAGGGGGCCGTTCAGTCACTGAAAGAATCTCCTGGCAAACCACCCACGGCCTCTCCTTGCTGCCGGGTGGGGAATTTGGGGTGTGGCCTACAGAACAGAAGAAGAACCCACAGAAGCCAGAGACAAAAGGCATCGGGGAGGAGGGCAAGGAGCCAGCCTCATTCACGTTTCCACCCCAACACGGCACATGCTCCCCCACTCACACCTAAGGCAAGGGGCCCTGGTGGACCCCTGAAGGTTTCTTGGCCATTTCTGGCCTTCTGCATTCATTCATTCACTCAATCTTTCTTCAAAATTGTTACAAAACAACTCCATTTGTGGAAAACCCATCCCGAGCTGTCAAGTCCCGTCTCTAAATTACTCGCTGGCCCCGAGACCCTTGGGCAGGCTGTGGGACTCAGCCAGTGGGTTTCGGGGTTAGATACCTGCAGCTGAGGGGCCTGGAGGAGGCGGCGGGCTGCAGCTATAGCCGGGCTTTCAAATCCCGCCTCCGCCCCAGTCAGGTAGCAGAGGAGAGGGCACAGAGGAGGAAGCCAGGGGCCTGGGCGCCCCAGAAACCTTCTCCCGCAAAATGGGGAGCGCAGGGGCCTCCTCCTCCTCCTCCTTCTTGGGGACAGCGAAGGGAAGGCAGACCGGCTTCCGCCAAGCGTGACCACCAACGCCTTCGGACAAAAAGACATGATCACTCTCACCTTGGACAGGAAGGACCAGCCAGGGAAGGTGACGACAAGGCCCAGCCTCCTGGGAGCGGCGGGCCGGTGCTGGAGCCGGAAGGGGGGAGGGCAGAGGGGAGGGGAGGGGAGAAGAGGGGAGGGGACAGGTCGGGCCAGCTCCAGCTCCGGGCGGCGCAGGGCGGGACCGGCCAGCCCGCCTGCGCGCAGGTGAGAGAGCCCGGGCGGGGCGGAGCGCAGCGCTGCCCGTGCCAGGCCCCGGCGCCCGCGGGCGGCACCGCCTCGAACCCGGAGCCACAGCCGTTCTCCCCGCCGCGGCCGAGGCGCCCCGGAGCCATGGGGGGCCTGAGCTGCGGGCTCACACTGCCGCTGCTGGGGGCCCTGCTGCTGGGAGCGGCGCGCCAGCCGGGCGGAGCCGGTGAGTGGGGCGCACCCGGCGCCGGGTGCCGGGCGCGGAGGGACGGAGGAGGCCGGGGTCCGAGGGCGCGGGGTCGGGGCGGGGGCAGAGCGTCCGTACGGAGTTGGGGCGGCGGCAGAGCGCACGGCCGGCGCGGACTCCCGGGGGCCGCCGGACTCCGGGGCGCGGCGGAGGCCTGTGCCCTCCTGGGTTCGGGGCGATCGGACCCCGGCGCCGGCCTAGCCGCGTGGGCGTGTCCGCGAGCCGCGGTCCGGGGCGGGAGTCGGCGCCGATCGAGGAAGGAAAGACCCCGATCTTCCCTCCGAGCCGAGCCGCCGAGTGGCCAGCCGCGCGCTCCGCCGGGGGCTCTCCGCCTGGACGGCGGGGTGCGCCGGGCCGGCAGGGAACCTCCTCCTCTGCCCCTTCCGCCCCCTCGCCTGCCTGGACCTGGGAGAGGGCCAGGGAGCAGGGGCTCGGGGCTCGGACACCCACCAGTCACCCTCTCCCCTGTCCGTAGGCCACGTTCTCGCTTCCCCGAAGTTCAGGAGCGTTAAGAACGGGAGCGCCCGGTAGAACGCGGGAGGCCCCCCACCGTCCCCCTCCAGTCTCCCCGTGCCCCTACCCCTACCCCATCCCCCCCCCACCTCCGCTCCCCCATCCCCCCCACCCATGTGGACTTTGGCCGCGGTGGGGGGTGGGGGGCCGGGCGGGAGCTCCGTGCGGCTCCGCTCGGGGGAGGGGCCGCACTTCCCAGCCGCCGGGCTTCGGCCGCGGTGCCCGCGGGCGCTGGACCCATCAAGCCTGTACAATGACCCGGTTTCTCGGAAGCGCTTGCTTGGAGGCCATTCCTGAGGTCAGCGCAGGCTTTGTGTTTGGCTGTCGGGAAGCCATCGGGGGTCTTTGGCTCCCCCGCTTTGCTGCTCCTTCTAAGCGGGTGTTTGCGTTTGCCCGTGGGCAAGTGAGGGTGCGTTAAATTCAGGAGCAAACCTGAGCTTGGGCATTCCGGTAGCGGCCGCCCTTGTCCGTCCGAGACAGGAGAGCTTCCTGGTTCCTTTCTGCCAGGAGAGAGAGAGCGTAAAGGACGGTGGGCACAGTCACTGTCGTTTAAGACGGAGCTTCCAAGATTTCCTTTGAAGGAAAAAGCCAGCTTAAAGATAAAGAATGATATAAACGTGTGAATGCTCCTGAATATACTGATTGCAAAGCAAAAGTCAACAACAAAAAAAGAGTCACTTAGGGAATGAAGACGTGTGTGAGTGTGTGTGTGTGTGTGTGTGTGTGTGTGTGTGTGAGAGAGAGAGAGAGAGAGAGAGAGAGAGAGAGAGAGAGAGAGAGAGAATGTGTGCCCACTGCTTCCTACAAACTTAGTGCACACGTTAACGCGCCTTCTCCTGGGCAACTGGCAACAAACCATCAGGTGAGGAGAGCCAGGTCTCCCTCCCCCCAAACCCCTCCTCCCCTCCCCTCTCCGGAGCTGCATGGAAACTGGGAATTGGCGGAGACATTGGGGTTGGCTGTGTCACAGTTGAGAGAGAACTCCTCCAGAGAATATGGTGTAATCAAGGCTTCACTGATGACAATGGCCGCCTGTCCTGAACCCGCTTCTGTTACCGTCTGACACACACACACACACACACACACACACACACACACACCCGTGGCCTGGGAGCTGCCATTCGGGCTCCCGTGGAGTCTTCCTTCCAGAAAGTTCTGGCTCTGGCTGTGGGGACCTGTCTCCTGGCTTGGTGTGTAAACTCGAGGACATGTAGGAACTTTCCCATTTCGCTTCCTCTTTTGTTTTTAAATAAGTATTTTGTGTTGATTTTTAGAAAGAGAGGAAGGGAGAGGGATAGAGAGAGGGAAACTCAGTGAGAGAGAAACATCATTCATTGGCTGCCTCCTGCATGCCCCCCACTGGGGATGGAGCCAGAAACCTGGGCACGTGCCCTAAGTAGGAATTGAACCCGTGACCTCTTGGTTCCTGGGTGGCCGCCCAGCCATTGAGCCACGCTGGCCGGGCCCATTTCACATTCTTAAATCCTCTCTGTGGTCTCCGGAGCTGGCTGGGGAGGCCACATCCCAGACGCCACCGAGGGCTCTGCCTCTGGTGGGAGCAGCCGCCTGGGACATCCGCTTTGCCTGAAAGTGCAGCTGAAGGGTGAAGGAAAGTTGGCTTCTTGGTGTGGTATGTTCCCGCGAGTTTGGGATCCCACCAGCGCCCCCACTTCCAAGGGTGAAGGGCTGGCTAAGTAGGATCCCGGCCTTGTTAAAACTCAACGTCATGGCTTTCCAAGAACTACCCAGACAGCAGAGTCCGGGTCCGTGGCTTCATTCCTGCCAGCGGGTGTAGACATCAACTGAGGTGCTCCCCACCTGGGCGTGTGCTCATCCTTCTGTTCACATGCAGAGCGGCGGCTGCGGTCCTGACTGGCAGGCCTGATGAGTTGCTCTCCCCATCCCCACAGGTTTGCGTGACTTGGAGGCAGATGCTGCCACTTCATCTGTGATGACTGCCCCACACCCCACCCCTCACCCTGCCAGGGGTTCTTTCAGGCCTCAGCGTGGAGGAAGGGAGTGGAAAACAATATTTAAAATGTTTATGGAATAGTTATTGTAGAAAGATTGGCCATAAATATAACCAAAATGGGAAGAAGAAAAAAAAGTCACCTGTGAGCAAACCATCTGCTCATAGGGGTGCACTGTGTGTGTGTGTGTGTGTGTGTGTGTGTGTAACACCAAGTATAGGACCATCCCGTTATATGGCTTCAACCATCCCCCTGCTGTTCGGCATTTAGGTTGCTTTTCGTTTTTCCTACTAAAAAGTAGAACATGCCCAACAATACGGGGCTGCTTGTGTCCATTTTGATAGGCCCGTTCATTGGAAACACATTAAAGATTCTATAGCACAGACTCTGTGAAGACAGGAAATGTCGTTTTTGTGTCAAGGTTGTCATAGAGGCTAAGCCAGACCATCCCGTTTTGACACATCTGATAATGTGTTTTCGTGGCGGTGTGGGTCTGCACATTGCTGACGGTTTTGTTCGGCTGACATTCTGGAAACAGAATTGCTGGGATGAAGCGTGGGGAGAACGTTAGGGCTTTGGCTGCAGGTTTCTATGCCGCCGTGGAGAGCTTGTCTTGTCGTCCGGGTGCACATCCAGGCCGGCAGCGAGTGGATGGGCTGCCCACCCTCGCCTAGGCTGCTGTCCTGGCCTCACCAGCGTCTATGAAAGAAGCATTTTCCTCCTTCTAGGTCCGCAAGCAGGGGCTGGACAGTGTTAGTGGACATTAGACATCGCAGGAGCATCCTGGTCGCTGGTACATGGTCCAGCCCCCGCCTGCAATTTGGATGCGGGAAGGAGGAAGGGTGCAGAGTTTGAAGTGTGCAGAGTGTGGTCAGAAGGATCCCTGGCTGAGGTCCAGGTGGATGGTGCAGTTAGGAATGGCACAACACTACTGCTATGGGAGACCCCTCGCTAAAGCTTTCCACAGGGTGATCGAGAAACGTTCACACCCTCTAGTTCTCATTCTGAATTATAAAAATGATCCCACAATCAAACGATTTCAAACCACTTCCTACAACCTTGTAACTAGCCCATCGTCTTCTCCTGGGCAGCTGGCAGCACTCTGGGCAACCAGGCAAGGAGAGCTGGGTCCCCTCCCTCACCACTGTGCTGTGGCCTTGGGTTTGTATTCAGAACGTCAGTTTTTTCAAATTACTCTCTGCTGCTCGTCAGCACTTACACTCGTGAGCCTCCGCTCTGTGCCAGGCACTGCGGACGGTTCCGATGGCCTCATGGGCCTCTTCACCAGCGGTGGCTCTGTGCCCGATAACTTACTAAACCCCCTTTGTTGGCCCTCGGGGCACCTCCACTTCATCCCGACGCCCCATCTGTTGCATTTGCAGCGTAAGTGGCAACTTCTTAGCGTCATTTTGTTTAAAATGTTGTGTTGTGTTTGGAAATGTAAACATATGTTTCCTAAATAGACATTGGCCAAGAGTAACTTGGGAGGGTGAACCATAAGGTTGACAGTGTTGGGAGTAATAAAAACAAAGCTTTCTCCTGAGAAAAAGTAAATCGAGGACGTGACCTTGGGTCGTTCTGCTCGTTATTTAGCTCTCCATCCTCAAGCAAGTGGCCTTCCTGTGGAGAGGCAGAGAGGTGAAGTAACTTGCCCAGGGTTACCCAGCTGGTATGTAGTGATGCTGAGGTGGCAGCCCAGGAAGGCTGGCACCAGTGCACCATGCCCTTCGCACAGTGGAGAGTTTGCTGGTTAGAAGGACCCATGGCTGAGGTCAAGGTGGATGGTACGGTAAGGGATGACACAACACTCCTGGTATGGGAGACCCCTAGCTAAAGCTTTCCACCGGGCCGAAACCGGTGTGGCTCAGTGGATAGAGCGTCAGCCTACAGACTTGAAGGTCCCAGGTTTGAGTCCAGTCAAGGGCATGTACCTTGGTTGCGGGCACATCCCAGTAAGGGGTGTGCAAGAGGCAGCTGATCGATGATTCTCTCTCATTGATGCTTCTACTCTATCCCTCTCTCTTCCTCTCTGTAAAATATCAATAAAATATATACATATTTTTAAATCATGAATGTTAAAAAAAAATAAAAAATAAAAATAAGGCTTCCCACTGGGACTCCTGAAGAAGCATTTGCTAGCTTTTGAAGCAGTGTCTACACTCCAGACATTTTATTATTATTATTATTATTATTATTATTTAAAAGAAAAATCAACATTTACTGAGTGCTGGGATCATATTTTTCCTAAGGATGTGTGTGTGTTGTTGTTTTTTAATATTCAGGCGTTTTAAAAACTGTGCTTAGGAAAAGAATTACCTGTCCGTGGTAACAAAAATTCAACTTGTACAGAACGGTGTGTGCGCGATACAAGTGTGTCCGCTTCAGCCTCTGACCCCAGAGGGAGCCTCTTCCCAGAGGGAGCGAGCCGTGGCTTCTGGTGGATTGTGTCGGAGCTGGCCTGCACATGTTGTTGTTCACAAATGCCTCTCTTCTTTA